AGGTGAGGTGCTTCTTCCCACTGGTGCCTCAATCAGGCAACCCTGAAAGAACTGAATGGACCTAAAAAGTCCCCTGAAACCCTTGAGCCATCCAACAACTCCCCAAGCCTGGCAGGGGCTTGGACTGGGGCAGCAGTGGGGCCAGCAGGGCTATCAGCCCTCAGGAGCTTTCTCCAAGGAGGATTCTCCTTCATCCTCAGGGTCCTGCTCACATCCCCTGCTCACATGTGGATGAGCAGTGGGGGAAGAGCACAGAGATGCTGTCACAAAAATATCAGAACGCTCGTTCTTTGGTGGAGAAAAAAAATGGGCTGTTTTTCCTCTGAGGGCCATCAAACCTGTCTTCAAGTTAGCTGCATGGATGGCTCTCTTCTCTTTGATTTGGTTTTTATTTTGTCACTAAAACACTGCAGTGCTGGGGAGGGGAAAAGCAAACCCCAAGATAAAACAGATTATATTTGTTCATTTCTCTACCAACTCGCCCTCAGTAAGGAGAGAGGTGAGCAGCCCAGCCTCGCTCAACAGAGGGATTTTTCAACACTTTTGATAAATTTTTTACAGAATTTCTCTCCCAGCTCTTCTGTATGACTCCTGCATGCAAAGCAGCATTTTGAGCTCCACTGGATGTGTGCTCTGTGCTGCTCTGCCCATGGAGCCAGCCCATGCCTCTGCCCAAAGGGGAGGAAGCCCCTTCTGCCTCAGGCCTGGATACAGCTGAATTTAAGACCCCAACTCCTACTGAAGTCAACATAATCTCTGTATCAAGATCTCTGGGAGGCTGATCTGCATGAGACCATGTCCCTGAGACAAAAGGCAGAAGCTGCTGCCTTCTAACAAGGGGAAATAGGAAGCAAAATTATTGTTTTAATACAAATAAATATAAATAATTCATTCTAAATTGTGTGACTCCACAATGACACAGAGAATTCTCCTGCTTAGTATCCCTCCTTCTCAGAGTCTCCATGAGGGCAGACTGGATGTTTTAACCTTTAGTTGCACCTGACCATTCTTCCTGCATTTATGTGGTGCTATGCTGGTTGCAACTTTTATCTTTTAAGCTGTAGTAAATATTGAGCCTTAACTTCCCCTTGTAGATAAGCTTTAGGTGGAAAAAAAAAAAAAATTGCTAATATTTTACCCACTTTATTTCATTTGAACAGCCCTATGGAACAGCTTGGCCTTAGGGATTTCTATCTAGTACTTTCCACAACTTTAAACTATTTCCCAGCACTGGTTCTCAGACAAAAGAATTAAGTTTTGGGTTTCCTCAATCATCTGTTTGATTACAAACTAGTGATTTCCATGCTTCTGGTACTACTTTTTTAGGTTTATAACATATTCCTTGTATTTTCTTGTGACATATTTGTAATTTCAGTTAGTTGCTCTGGCCTTACATAGCCTTCTCCTGAATATGCAAATACTTTCCAGCCATATTCTGGCAATATAATTTAGTAGAAAAAAATGTAACTTTTAATCTCAGCTAGAATTTTATATTCACTTTTAGCAATGAATTAACCTGATACTTTTCCTACTATCTAGCTGCAAAATGAAACATTTCACCTTTGCAGCGGAATATACTCAAAATAATATATTCAGAGTAATAGAAAATAAAATCATTTTAGGCTGGTTACAAGACAACCTAAAGCTTTCTGGGGCAAATGTGCAACTGGAATTTTCTTTTATCTGAGAGTTTAAAAACACTCTGCTGTTTGTATCATAGGATCTCCCAGTGAACTGCCCTCAATAAAAATCCAACTGTAAAAGGCAGAACAGACATTGCCCATCATTCTCTTCTTCACCTGGACTGTATCTAAGGCTTCTTTTTTTGGTCATTATTGCCAGATGCTGGAATAATTTGATTTGATGGCACCACAGGAGTTTCTCAGGTTCATATAGAATCATCTGCATCTAATATGATCCAGATCAGTTTCCAAGAAAAAAATCTGATCTGCAGGCTTTTCTTGTTCCATTTTTATCACCGACTTGCTGTGTAAGGAATTTATCAGCAATCTGGCCCATTTTCCCCCTTATCTGATAAAGGAATATCTTGACATGTTCCTAGGAACAAGTAGGGGGAGATTAAAAATATCACAAAATGTAAAAGCTTCCTCATCTGGAGGATGTTTTTCCTCTATTGTCATGAGCTTCATTATGCACAGCTGATTTCTCTAAGGATATGTATTCCAGTTAATCTGACATCTTGCCCAAACACTAAGTGCTGTAATTGAGGTTTCTGTTTGGGACAGGGGGAAAACAAAAAAGAAATATACAGAAAGCAGTTACCTAAATGAGTAGATATTCCATGACAACAACCCTTCTTTTTGATAAAGTAACATAATAAAAAAACTATTAAAACTTCATTTTTGTGTGATTCAACAGAAGGAATTGAAAATAGTTCTCTTATAGGGCTGGCTCCTCTAAATTTGTAGTAGTGCTTAAATCAGTCTGATTTTTGGTTGGAAAAGTGGCACATCCTTCCTGTTTTCTGCTACTTTTTGACTTTTAAAAGCTGAAAGCCATCCTTCTTTCAAGCAAGTCATAAAAAAACGTGAAACAAATAATTGTTTTTCTTCAGAATGAGTCCATTGAGAGAGAAAGACTAAAAAGAAATCCTCAACCCTCTTATCTGCTGTAAGTGGGTAACAAGATCAAACTAAACAACATGACCCAGGAGGCCCTGAGGAATAAATCTGGGTCTGCACCTGTGTGAATCCTGGAGTTAAAGGGGGTGAGAATGGTGCAGGGCCACAACTTTCCCAAAGCAATGAAAGCTCTGAGGGCTGGGAGGTGGGTGCTCTGTTGCCTATCAAAAGTTTCTTTGATAGGAGGTTCCTATTGAAGGAAGTTCCTATCAGAAAAGTTACTTTTAGGAAATAAGATGCTGCCAGAGCAGTAGTTTCTTGTGCTGACTTCATGACTGTTTGGTTCTCCCCAGTAAGTGCTTGAAATGTGAAACTGGGAGGGAGGGAGGGAGGGAAAGAAAGGGAGATAGGTGAACAAGATCAATGACTTTTAATTTTCTCTGGTGTGTCTTTGGATAAAAAATTAAATCTCCTGGAACTGAATTTGTTAAAATAGAAATTGATACTGCTATTCTTCATCCTGTGAGACTTTATTTACTACAAGAGTAGAAAATCTATTCCTTCCTATTATGGCAAGAGTTCCATTTTTAACCTTATTTCCTAAAGGACCAATACTTGTCTCTTCCTTCATCCCCCACTCCTCTCCTCCATGATCTGAGTGCACTGAGTGGGTCCAGCCCCGCTGGCAGAAAGGGTCTCAGAGGCAATCAGCTGCTGGATACCACAGGAGGAGGTAGCTGGATGAAGTCACTTAGAGCACTCTATTGAAGAAGGGGCTTTATGGAAAATTCAGACCCTTTTCTACTGCCAAATAGCCAGCACAGACAGAGATGTTAGGAAGAATTCAGCTGCAGAGAGAGCCTGCAATGGACAGGCACCCACAAGGTGCAGGGCCAGAGCTCTGCCTCTGTTGCTGCTGCTCGAGGGCAGCCCCTCTGCTCTGCAGCCAGGCCTGTGCAGGTACTTTGTGTTTCCACAGCTGTTCACAAAGCCTCTTGCTGTCCCTTTCTGTCAGCCTTGTTTTGGACCTGTTGCTAACAAAGATTCCAAGCAGGATGTTGACACAGGTGAAGCATCCAGCTGCAGAGGAACAGGGGGAGGCTGGCTGAAAGAGGAAAAACCATATTGGGATTGACAAATTGATTTCCTGGTAGCCTCCTCGACTCTTCAAAAGAGTCTCATTATCCTTTGAGAGGGATTCCCACAATAGAAAATTTGCTAAGAGCACCAAAAGTCCAACTAGGCTGAATTTTTGGTCAGCCAGGGTTGAATTTGGGGGTGCAGGACTTCCTGGCAGGAATGGCTCTGTTCTCCTCTCCTGGCAGCAGGGAAAGGGGAATGAGAAAATCTTTGCTTCCCACTGCAGTAGCATGAAGTTAACACCACTGCCCTGCTCTTCACGGCGTGGAAGCTGCAGGGGCTGAAACCCACCAGCCAGGCTGGATAAAAACCTAGAAACCTTGACCATTATTCCCCAAGCCAAAAAAATAAGTCTATTGTAAATGGGTAAAATTATCCAAGATGAGTGCCTGGGAAGGAATAACCTAATAAAAGTGTCTGCCCTGAGGAAGAACACTTATCATTTCTGAGGCTGAAATACTTTCTATGCTTTAAAGGGTGGGGCATTTTGAACAACACTTAAGCTAAATTGTCTGTTTTATAATATGAGATGGTAAATCCCATCCTCCTCACAAATTAAGTCCATGCCCTGAAATATGTGAAGTAGTTAGCTTTTGAGTTGGGTCTTGTTAGGTCAATAATCAAATAATATCTTCTTATCTTTTTTTCATGTTTCAGAATAATTATGCTTACAAGCATAAATATTAATTTCTGCTCAATATGTATGTGCTTTCGAGTCCCTAGGTGTGAATAACATTATCTAATTGCAGAAGCTAGAATATTAATTAACTTCTGTCAGATAATTTTTAGCTGGGTGTATTACAAGTCAGATATGTGCCAGCAGGAGGGTTTTCTGCAGAGCCGTGTAATGCTCTTCGAAGTTTCCCTCTGGCCAGGAGGATATCACAATGTACAGCTGCTGGCACAAAGGAAGAGAAATAGAAAAGGGCTTTGTGGGGCAAGAAAGGCTTTACATTACTGTAACAGATATGTTCTGTGTAGTTAATTCTACTTCCCTAACAACCTGATTAGTATCTTAAAAGCAGTAATTTTCAAAATCATTACAAGTTGAGCAACACTGAGACAATATTTATGTGATGATAAATCAGTGCTGTTCTAAAAATTATATAATGTGAGTTTTGCTCCTTTCTGTCATTACCCAAACTTTCTACACTGTGGAGAACAGCAAACAGAAGAGTGGACATGACTGTGTGCACTCATTTGTTTCTTAGCAACAGATTAACATGCTAAAGTCAGTTTTGGGAGTGTTTCCTGAAATCATAGGAAACAAAACCTGCAGGTTTTACCTTCAGGAAGGGATCCCCCAGCCAGTGTCAGGTCTGTGTGTTACTGCTCTCTGATATTTGACTTACATTGCTGTGCCACTTCCTCTGTGTTTATAGAAAAATACTATTGATTCATTTGCTAATGATCAATGCATCTACATAATTAACAGCCCCAGAGTGTTTTGTCTCTCTCTCTTTCCCAAGTCCAGTTCCCGCACAGAAAAAGTTCCTGGAGGAATCCTACACATTCAGCACTTTATAACCTCTGTTTTCAAACTCCTGAGATTCTTGTCTGAAGCTCCAGGAGATCCTCCCCAAACTGAACTCCCAATAAGTTCATCCTGGCTGGGTGTTTTAGCTCAGAACAGCCAGAAGGTGTTTGTGACTTGGTAAACACAGCCCAGGCCAGGCAGACATCCCAGTCCCACTCCCTGGCTGCTCCCTGCTTGGCACTCGTGCCCACGTTTCTCCAGCTGACTCATCTTTAAGCAAGATTCATTGATACATCATTTATCTGCTTTTTCTGCCGGAAGAAACATTGAAGAAAAAAGAGATTCCTGTGCCATATGTAACACAAAAATAAATTAGTTTAAGACAGGAGTTTTAAGGAGAACATCTGCTAGCCTAGCTTGGTTTTGGTTTTTTTCCTTTCTTAAATATGCTAACAACAATGGTTACCTTACTTCAAATTGAGATGCATCATGAGTACCAGGCTGTTCATCCATTTGGACCAGTAGTCACCGTTTAGTTCTCTTATTCTGCTCACAAAAGGCTTTGATTTTTTTTTCCCCATAAGCTTTTTGCTCAAATCTATACATGCCAGAGCTGAGTTTTGTTCCCTTTTTACTGTTTGCTGCTTGTGTGTGGTGGCATGCAGCTGGTTAATTGAGTCAGGTCACAGTGTTTCTGATTTCTGACTAAATGCCCCAAACTTTTTAAACAAGGAGTTAGTGGTGAATTAGTAAACACTCTGGCTCCCCCAGGAATATCAGTTTGTATGAGAATATATTCATACAGAAAATGCCACTCCCCAACCATTTGTGCAAACAAAACATGTTTTCTTGAATATTCATGAACAACGCAGGGCACAAACAGGCTGAACCAAACAGCTGCTCAGAATTCATGAACTCGTTCTGTAAACAGAGTTTGGCAGCGTTTGACCAGCTCTAGGTACTGCTGTCAGACAGGAGCACAAACGAGCTGAAATGTTGACAGTAGTAATAGCAGATTAAAAAATAAAAGTAATCAACTATGCATTTACATGCCCACTAAATCTTACTGTGTGTAAAGGCCAATGATGATTATGAGCCTAATTTCACTTTTCTTGTCTCTTTGATGATGAAATGCACTAACAAAATAACACATCTCATTGGGAGCCTTTTCTCAGGCTACTTGTCTGTCTCATCTCTCCGTTTCCTTCATTATCTCATTTTCATCCTGCAGTCTTGATTGCTGGGATAAATTTGTTGCTTGAAAATGGCTCCTTTATTAAATATTCTGCTTGATTTCTTGGTCCTTTTCCACCACTGGCATCCATTGTTTCCAGCAATGAACAGATGCCCAAGAACTGGAAATGGAGCAAAAACCACCTTTTTACTTTGTGCTGTCTCATCTGTCTCTCGTTCAGTTCCCCAGGATGGTGCTGCTCTGCTCAGAAATGCCAGTATTTCAGCTGGACAGAAGCAGAATGTGGCTTTTTATCAACAAGCAAAACTTTCCAGGTTGGTGAAGAAAGTGGCAAGAGAAAAACAAGTCTGTGAGGGCTGTGATGATTAAAAAGGCAGGCAAGTTTTGAACAGTAAACTGAAAACTATCCTCAATTAATTCTTGAACTGCTGACTTCCCAAACCAATTTAGCCATTCATCCATGAAGCTAAAAGGACTGGGTTGCTGTTTATGTCTAGGAGAGTTGTGGAAGCTCCTTTTTGTTGGTTGTGTTTTTAGTTGGCTTTTTGTGGACTTTTTGTTGTTGTTGTTGTTGTAGTTTGTTGTTTTGTTTTTGTTTTTTTTTAATCTGCATGTAATCACACTGCCTGCTTTGGGGGTTTTTTTTAGGATTTTTGGGGGGGTTTTTTTGTGGTTTTTTGGTGCTTTTTTTTTTTTTGTGCTAAAGTGCAAATTTAGAGTGTTTTCTGGGATTTTTAAAGCTGTAAGTGAAAATAAGAGAAATTAAGTCCGTTGCCCTAAACTGAGCAGATCCTTATTTCTCTGGTATTTTCCAAACAGAAATAAAATGCAATGTTGTTACCTGTGGGATGTGACATAGCTCAGTTGATGTGATGCTGACCTAATAATGGGAAGGTCTGTATTTTAATAATTCTTCCATAACCAATTTGCTGTGTTGGCTTTTGCAAACTGTGGTTGCCCAATACACAAGAACAGGAAAAGAGAACTGTATTTTTTTTTTTTTTTTTTGAGTCACATGAAGCTAAATTAATCACTTAATTCTTTGTGTGCATTTTACAAAATAAGTGAAGGACAAGGTACTGCATGAATGCCACTTGTGACCCTCTGGGACTTTTTCCTCCCTTTCAATCCTCAAAAATAATCTGTGTTAAACAGGAAAGTTCTTGCTCCATCCTCACTGTCCACTTCCTGTGGAGCACCCCACATTTTTTATTATTGCTCATTTACCCTGAACCAATATTACAACAGCAAGGCAGATGCAGGCACTAACAAGGTGGAGATTTGTACAAAATAATATAATTAAGTTGCTTCTGCTCATGCAGTTTGCCACATTAAGTAAACATTCATGGGAATTATTCAGAAGAAGGTGGAATACATTTGGAAAAAATTGCATATTTGCATAATGCAATGAATTTCTCAGCTTTTGTGCCCTGCTGAATGTAGATGAGATACTCATTTAAGGAGTTTACAATTCTGCATCCATTCTAACATCTGTTTATAATAAATAGCTGTGACTCGTTTGAAACGAGGAAGGTGATCTCCACAGCCTTTGGGCATTAACTGCTGCTAGGAGATACATTTTTATCCTACCCTGTTTATATTGAAATAAGATGTTTGCCATGGAAACCTACACGTTACAATAAACCACCACTTTCCAAAGGGCAGGGAAGCTTTGCAGTGAGCACCAGGAATATATCATCCAGTGGTTTTTCTTCTGAAATTATCTGTTCAAAATAAGGTTTCTTAATATTTCTGATTTGTGAGAGATGAGTAATGCAATGGTTGACTCTCACAATTAAAAGGCAAATATTATGTATGTTAAGAGAGGTTTTATAGATGTATAGTTAAGTTTTACCCCCTTGCATTGTTATCATGGGATGGCCTTGGTGGTTGGAGCATTGGGAGGGTCAGGTTGTCACCATGGCAGCACCTGATCTCCAGTCAGGATTTAAGGAACTGAACTCCACCACTGGACAGCAAAGGATGGACAGAACTTTGGGAGGGGCAAAAGGGTTAAAAGGTGAATCCTCCATTGTGTGGGTGAGCACATGGTGGGAAAAATCCTTTGCTCCCAGCACCATGATATTTTCTCTATTCAGTCTTCTGTTGTATTTTTTTATAAGGTTTTATAAATCTTTTAGATTTTTGAAAGTGAGCATCATTTCTCAAATGATTAATCTGATAAGAATTGTTCAATTTTCTGTGGAGAATGGGAACTCGCATCTACAAAGCATTAGATACTTTTTAATCTTGTTTTCCCTCCAAATTCCAGATTTTTCTGTGAAGGAAAAGCCTAAAAAATATTTTGAAGTTGGTGGATCTGTTTCCTATGGACAGCAAGAAACAATTCTGCATTTTATTTTGATTTCCCATGAGATGATGTATAATTGAATATTAAAAAATACAAAAATATTGAAATTTTCAATTTGAGGAATATGAACATGAATTGTTTTAGATTTGCCATTTTGCTCTCTTATTGAAAAAAAAAAAAAGTCCAGTGAATTTCACATAATTCTCTTGCTTTTCTTTCCACTTTATGTAATGGCAAATCCAACTTGTGGAGGGCAAGGAGCACTTATCAAAAGAATACAATAAAGATTGAAACAACGGGAGGGTGTTTTTCTTCTTTTTCTTTCCCTCACTTCCCTCCCCACTGCTCATTTTGTGGCTGTGGCTGTCTAAGGGAGTCAGTCTTTGGGATTCCCAAGTGAGTCTCTTGTGCTGGTGCCCTGTGGATCTCGTGCAGCCCCACAGCCTGGTTTGGGAGCTGTGCAAAGGATCCCACCCTGGCATTCCTGCACCCAGATGACTTTTCCTGAGCTGCTTTGCCACAGAACCCAGTGACAGGCAGGACGTGCTGGTGCTGAGTGAACAGTGTGCAGGAAACCTCCTTTGGCAGGGGTGGAACAGGACCCGAGCCCAGCCCCTCTGAGATCACCAGAACCAGGTGAGGCACAAGGACATCCACTGACACTTTCTTCTACCAACTCCTCTTTCTCCTGGCTTACTTTGAAATAGTTTATTTCAAACAGTATTCCAGTGCATGAAGGAGGGAAGCATGGCTTTGCTTCAGCCAAAACAGATGAATAAATTAAAGCCATAACTCTTACAGAAAGCAGTTTAATAACCAGTGTGGCAGACATTACTTATGTTAAACCTGCTTTGAAGTCTGTTATGTAGTTAAACTGGGATTTCACATTAAAAAAAAAAGTTATTTACATTTGCACATGCTGGCCCAGCTTTTGTTAACAGCACTGGAAGATTAGATGTAAATGATCTGAGGCCAGTAATATAAATGCAACAGTCTGAAGACATCTCTCAAGGAGGTTATTACAAGATTGGGGTAGGGGGGGAAAGTATTCAAATTCCCAGCCATATTCCAATCATCCAAAGCATATTTCCAGATGCCAAAACAATCTCAGCCTGCAAAAGTGAAACTCATTTGCTCAAGCTTCCTATTTGCTGAGTTTGCCTAATAAGACACTTGAGACCTAAGTTTACATTTTTACAGTGAAAATTGGATGGAATGATGCAAAGCCCTTCTTGATGTCTCTTCCCTTGATGTTTCTGCTTCTCTCACTTCGGGTTGTTTTACTACAACATCTGCATCTTCCCCAGACTCTGGGCTACAGTGCTGTCCTGATTACTGCTGGGGGGGAAATAAAAGTATTGGGATTTTAAGAGAATAATGGGTAGTGTATGGAGTCTATCATGTTGTTTTCCCATTTCAAATTCTTGGACCTGAGTTGAGTAAGACTGATGTGGTTGGATTTGTTGTCCATCCTTTACCTTTAGGTTAAAACTTCTACTTAGGCCTGGAGTCAGGTGTTGGATGAGGTATTTGATTTTGGCATCTGGATTTAAGAACCTGGGTTAGGAATTCAGTCCTCAGCAGCAGTGTGGGATTCATGCTGTGCCTGAGTGGAGGCAGGGACCTCTCCAGTATTTTGGAGGGGGTGTTTTTATTGCAGACAGGCTGATCAGCAGCTGAAGGAGAAGTAGGGTACAGCCTGTCCTCTGTTGATAAATTGTGCCAGCAGTTACACTGTTTTTCTCCAAAGCTTTATAGAAACGTCAAATTTTTTTCACAAAGGACAGCCAAGATGAGCAGGGCCTTGGATCATATTTTGGCACGAAATCACTCTTATTTTAACTCTGGGCAAATTGTAGTGACTTTTCTTTTTCCTACCATGAGAAGCTCAAATAATCATGCTTCTACTTGGAATTAGACCTGCTCACTCTCTTTTGTCTGATCAGTCTTTCTAGACAACCAAAGAAGGTTTCCATTCTGAAAACAGGTTTGATTTTCTGTAGTGGTTCCTGCTTTTTAAGGCAAACCAGAATTCTGACCACTTTTGAACCACACACCATTCTGGGTGTGATCTTCATTTGAGACCAATCTCAAGTAGAAAACAATAAAAAGCAATTTTTTCTTTCAATGGGAACATAAGGAAAAAAGGATTCTTTTACTAAATATAATTCAAATAGTAGACCTCTTCTGTAAGTGATAATAAAATGTACTATTAAAAATGAAAATTAAGATTGGTTTTTTTTTGGTCTGGATCAGATTAAAATGAAAAAAAAATGGAAGGATTTTTCCTCTCACTGATTTTGGCTTCATTTGAAAAAATCATAGCCTCTAGCTTTAAATACCTTAGATCACCTCTTCTATTGGCTATTTGCTTTTTTTAGGGTGAAATCTGATATTTGAAGCACCTAATTAAATTAAAATTTCTTATATGTGAATTTCTGGGATTTTTAGACTACACTTTCATTATCAGTGCACCTTTTTCCATTTTGGGGACTACATTGGTTTCTAGCCCCACTCCATCCCCTTAAAAAGTTTTAAAACCAGAAGATACAGCACAGTTTTCAATAAATACCTTGATTAAAATCCTGAAATGAAAGTTACTCTCATACTTTACGAGGCCTTTGAGTAGCATCAGATGAATAGCCCAGTGATTGATTCTGATCACAATCCACATATTAAAGAGTTTTTCAGCACTCTGGAACTCCTGCAGCCTTTCACAGGGGCTGTGTGTGTGTCTGTACCCCGAAATGTTCACGAAGTCAGGCCTTGGGACCATGACTGGCCTGGATACAAAGGAGCAGACCACAAAAAGATGTGACTGTTTGAGTCAAACTGATTTTCTACTGTACCACTGTGAATATGGCCTCACAAAGGGTAGAGACAAGATAGAGAGATTCTGTCCAAAATTTGTTGGAAACACATCACACATCTCAAGTGAAATCACACATCACATGGCCCTGTCTGAAAACCCAAAGCTGTGTCACTGTACTGGGGACTGTGCCATGTCCATCAGTCCCCTAAAAGCCAGACTGCCAACAAGGATGGATGCCCATTCCTATAAAGCTCTTTTTTGTTATTGCTCTCATTTTATCCAAAGTGGTAAAACCTCACTTTTTTAGAGGAAATTACCTGGAAAGTGGGGATCACTGATCCCCAGTGGTTTGAGAGAAAAAGAGCTTGGGATTTCCAGCAACTTATACAAATGTTAATGCCTGGCTCCCAGCCTTGGGCATCCCACTTTTTCTGGACTTCTGAAAATGTCAGTCCCAATGCATTTACGCTTCTTCTTTTCCTGTTTGTCAAACTGAAAGAATTTCCACCTTTTAATTGTCTCACTCAGATAAATTTGTGTGGAAATCCTTATTTACTGGACTTTAACTGTATAATGCATCCATAATGTTTTAAAAGTTAGCATAAAATATAATGGTCTCTTCAGCTCTTTGCAGAAAGCAATATATTGCAGGAGGGCTGTCCATTTGATTAAACTGAAACATGGTTTAAACATTAATTTGCTGCTGGATGGAAAGCAGAGCAGCTGGTGTGGAGCATTTTGACAATATCCTCCCACGGCTGCTGCAAAGCTCCTGCTGACATTAAACCCCTTGATGCTCAGCAGAGATGTTACCACCAACACTGGTCAAATACCAGGTGACTCCTGGTGTAATACCACACCAAACCAGGTGGGTAGAACTAAAGCAGTTGAAAAATTAGAGAAAATTGGAGACAGCATTAAATGGCAAGGTGGCCTATCTTGCAAAGAGGAGAAAAGTCCCTCTGAAATGAGACCTGAGTCGAGCTCAGCGAGCTCATAGCAACTGAAAGGACTCCAGTTTGGGCTCTCTGGGACGTGTTGCTGCAGCTGGTGGATGTTTGCAGTGGCACGTAGGAGGTGTCAGTAGAAAAAATGTCCTGCTGGGAAGTGTCCCTGATAGGACTGCACTTGGAATGACTCCTTCAGGAAAAGGGGGAATAGGTTCCCCTGACAGGAGCCCTCCACCAGCAGATATCTGTAGCTCACTGAGTTGCTGCCTTATGGCCCGTTCATAGTTGGCTTCTGGAAGGAGAGATTAATCTGACTTATCCTTAGTGTTTACTGAAAGATGAGATAAATCTTGACCTAGAAATGATCTGTCTTTACTTTGACTGGATGGTGTTGGGGACTATTTCAGATTTTACCATCCAGCTTCAATCAGTTATTTAATATTTCAAGACTATGAAAGGTACGGGGAAATTTTAATTTCTACAGCACAGGCCAAAACAATATTTCTATAAATATGTGGACATTAAGGGAAAGCAAATTACATAGCGAAAGAAACATAATTCTGACTTTCTTCTTTCTTTGATTTCCTGTGACCATGAGTTAGACTTGAGGGTCCCATAGCTCCTGGGCTCTGGGACTGGACTCTTACTAGAGCAAAATCTCTGGGAATTGTTTGCCTGGCTCAGGAGAAAAGAATATGGTTTGCCTGTATGAGCAAAAAAAAAAGAAAGAAATTGTAACTCATTTGAAATCCTGACACTCAGTGGTGTTTCTCTATGTGGCAGATGATGATTAAGGCCCTGCCACAGATCCCTGATTTCTGCCACTTGTATCTCCTGTCACCATTCAAACCCTGAAGGGATTTCTTAGAGGAAACTTTTCTTTAGCAGAAATAGCAAGAGCACCCCATGGCTGGGTGCTTGTGGTGCTGCTCCTGGGCACTCCCCTGGGTGGGGCTGAGCAGTTGTTTTGGGATCTGTTGTTTGTTCTACAGCAAGGAAAGAATCTGAGGTTCCAAGACAGAGTGGGCAGAAAATCAGATCTATGTTCAGTTTGGTGTGTTTCATGCCAAAAGAGAAGAAAGGAGATAACAATTAATTTTCTGTTCTGTCCACTCTTCACTGATACACATAACTGATAACTTCCAAAAATTTTCTAATGTACAAATGCACATTCTTATCTTTGCTGACTGCTCATCCATAGTGGATGGTAGTAGTGATATTTGAGCACACATTAAAACATG